AGCTTGAGGATAGGAAGTGAGAATGTTTTGGAGGTTGAGTGAGAGAAAAAAAACCACTCGTAATGCTGAGATCAAAAATTCAGTTCCACCTCATCATACTAAGGTAGCTTGTGCTTATGCAGGTAAGCTAAGCCTGCTAAGCTACCTGCCCCCCACCAAATCCGCGGAGTTTAGGCGGGCTTACGCATGAGCTCGGGGCCAATCGGAGCTTGGGACTGACATCATCTGTTGTTGATACGACTCCAGCTTTGGATAATGATCTTGTGCATTTATCCAGCTTGATTAATGATCAAAGAATGGCACTATACTTCAGACCACCATTCTATTTGTTTTGTTTTGACTCTGCTCTATTGTAGGCCACTCCTGAGGCTTTGTTCTCTGTCCACCGCCTCGTATCTTATCTCCGTCCAGAGTCAATCGCCTCGTAGCGTACCTCGTTGACGGATATCGGAGAACAAGAGGGTCCGTCAACTTTATGGTGCCGGCTTTTTCGGATACTCGGAACGGACGAGTCTCCCGTGCTTATCACATAGATTACCGAAGTAATTACCAGTTACACAAAAGATCTAGGGGTCAAACACTCTATGTAGGAACTCTGATGCCTCCGCTGAGATCGGGTTGCGTCATTCAGCTTGCGGTTGGTTGATTTCCCTGGTCTTGGGAGACAACAAGTCACCTGTCTTCATAATTTTCAGATTAACCCTCTTCGACAGTACATCGTTGAAAAGAAAAGTTCTATATTCGTGTTTGGTTGAATCAAATGTTATTTGATAGCTCCAGTTATTAATACTGCTGCGATCGGCGGTCTTTAAGCTGCTAAAGATATAAAGCGAGCTATGGATTTCTAGATAATCGCGACCTTCTCGGACACTGCACCTTTTCTGCTCAACTTGTTCCCAGAAATACAGAAGAAGGAAGCAGGGTTGTCAGACAGAGACGTTCAGAGGGATTGGGCTGTGGTTTTCTTCGCCATGTTCCCATTGAGATACTTAATTGCTTGCTGTGCTGTGTTTTATAGGATGCTTGCTTTTTGCGATAGCAGTGTTGAAATTTTGAAATACATGGGAACAAAACCTCTTGGGTAATTGCAGCCAGACTTGAGTTTTCTGCTTAACATTCGTACCATACAGCTCCGCAGTGATCAGAACCATGCCATGAATCTCATTTCGAATTTCCCAACAACGTACAGCAAGCTTCATAATCAAAAAGATTGTAAGCAAACCTGAGTCAACATATCATCGAGGAATTGTCTGGTGTTTAGGGTATCCAACTAAGACACAGGGCTAGTCTCAATATGGTACAGCACCAAAGCTTTGGGTTAGAGATGCAAAGCCTGTCACTTACAAGAAATACAGATTGAGGATGTAAACAAAGAGATAGTAGTGCCTTGATAGAGGAGGCTATCAGTCGAAGATGCGCAGCGATAATGAGAGTCCGAGAGAGGCTGAGTTGTTCCGGAAATAACTCACGACGGGCGATGCAAGTGGATCTAACCAGATACGGCTAGCTGAAGTCGAACGTTTCAACAGCCATTATCAACCAAAGAATCATGTAACTTCACTCATCTCCGGGCACATAAACACTTTTGAGTAGAGACGTGAAGCATTTCGCCGCTTTACCAAATGAGATGGGAACTAAGGTTACCATGAAGCCTATCATGTTCAATAACAGACTGCAGCGTCCTTGCTCAAATACCAGTGCTCGCAAGTTTCGGGACCGAGAAGGATCGCAACAGGGATGACGAGAACCAATCACACGAGCGCTAAGTCAGATCCCCCAACTTCTCATGCCTTAGTGATAAAGAGTGCGAGATGTCACGGAAGGGAAGTGAGAGAGTCGACGCTTGTCTAAGCGTTGCTAGTGCTTCCAAATGTTATGATTTCTCTGTCCATAGAAGGCCAAGAGTTTACAGCAGGACAGACATTCAAGTCTTCATCTAGGCTTCTAGAGCCTGGTAATGTGAGCTGAGTGAGATGAAACATCTGTGATAGGGTTGTCGATCCTTGCGTCTTGAAACTGGGGGGCTGAGGCACCGAAGGGAGCGGGCCTCTGATTGCTCTGGGCCATTTAGTGATCATCTCACTGCCGTCTTAGCAAGGATGGGCCGTGCTATATCTTCCTTGTTACTGAGCAAGATCTCGACATCAGTGTCGGCCTACCGGGGATTGCTTAAGGTCGTGGTGAAGAAGAGAATATCTTGAAGATTCTTTCATGTCGCAAGATTATACAAACTTCATTTGAGGGCGGTTTAATCAGCAGTAAGTCTCGCCGGCAGCCTGTTGACAACGGGGGCCAATATCTGTCTGACACACCAAGCCACTTACTAGCGGAGACTAGATGAATGGCGAGGCTGATTCCCGCTTCTTAATTAAGGACATGTGCAGGATATCGATCCCTGTAATGCATCCATTGCGCCCACCTGTGAAAGGATCAACGAGTAAGCTATAAGATGTAATAATCCCTTGTGCCGCGTGTCGTCTTTTCTTCCCTCCCTTTCATGTTTCGCATATGAAGTTCCGTCGTTGTAACGTGAAAGATGGCGGCCCGTCGATTACTTGCCATACTGGCATTTCTGTCTTTTCACCAGATAGTAGCCGCTGCATTCACGAACCCACCACCGAGCGACTCGAGTATAAATAATCCTCACTATAAGCTGGGGGAGGAGATTAAGATTACTTGGGAGACGGATGCGGAGTTTACTGATCTTACAATGTGGCAAACCGATACCGGGAAGAGATACAACCTACAATGTAAGTTTATCAAAAGTCAGTGATGAACTGTTTGTTGACTTCGCTGTAGCAAACAGCAAATCGAAGGAGTATATATGGATCGCATCATATCAAGGTATCGACCTCGCAGACGGAAACTCTTTCAGTCTCTGGCTTTTCAAGACTGGTGACACAGGGGCTCTTTTTGCAAGTCATACATTCAACATCACCGATCCTTCGTCTGTAACAACTTCAGCACCAACGGGTACACGAACGAACAAACCGAACACCAAGACAAAGACAAGCGAAGAAAGTGAAACGACTGCGGCAACTGCTTCGTCGACAAATGAGCCCTCGTCGGGGCTATCCACGGGAGAAACTGCTGGAGTGGCAGCAGGTGCTGTCGCTGGATCATTGATTATTGCTGGCGCTGGGTTTATGCTTTGGAGAAGACGGCGGGGTAATAAGGCAGTGCCGTCGACGATCACGGAAGAAGAAGCACCGAAATATGGATATGCACCGGTTGAAGCACCGAGTGATAACGCTGCGAGGCCTGGACCTTGGGAAATGGGAGGGTCGCCTACGCAGTTTACGCATGAGTTGCCAGCTGACAACACAGTACAGCATCGAACATGAAGGGTGATAGGAGTACGGAGTCTGGAAATATACCATCCGTTTATAATTATCTATATAGATCTGATGAGTTTGTAACCACCTCGCATTTTCCTTGACTATTCTGTGCTCACGTTTTAACTGTCTGAATTCCCCTTGATTGAGAAGCCAATCGTCTTCTTCCCGGTCATATCGTAGTCCGGATCTTCTGGAGCACTCCAGCCAAACAAATCAATCAACTTCTCCTTGATATTCTCATAGTTTGCCCCAATTCTCAAGACACGTTCATTATCCAAGTCCAAGATAGTCCCGGCCCTCCCATACAGATGCCACTTCTGCCGACCGTAGTTAACGACTAAATCAGCTGCTTCAATAATCTCAGCCTCAATGTCCTCAACTCGAAACTTCTGTCCTTGATCCGTCAAGTTGGCACTGCTGCCTACCATAACCAAACCGTTATCATCGTTTAGCCGCGCAAGTTCCCGTGAGAAAGGACCTTCACCAATGGCAAAACCTAAGGTACCGTTCTTGACGACCCGGTCAACATTCGGGATGAGATCTGAGGCTGACTCTTTTATTTTTCCAACGAAAGCAACCGTCAACCCTAATTCTTCCGTGAATGTTCGAACGATGGTGTATTTCTCATCTGGAAGATCGTATAGTCGTGTAAGAAGGTCATATGTTCCGATGACGCCCATGGAATGTCCTGCTTTTCGCTTCTTGGCGATAAAGATCCTCTCGATGGCATCAGCGCTCGCGGCCATCATGCCGTATCCGACATCCGTTGGGGCGATTATGACGCCGCCCTTTTGCAAAACTTCGAAGGCCCTTAGAGCGTCCCGCTTTGCATCTGGAAGCTCGCCAGGCCGCGGTGTAATTCGAGATGAGAGGTTGCTAGCCATTATGTCGATATAGCGAACAGTAGAAAGAAATATCAAAGCCAATGGCCGTGAGCTTGCTTATATAGCGATGAACTTTAAGTGGCGAGGAAGGATGCAGATGTTTCTTTGAAATTCTTGACTACAGTTTTGAGTATGAATGAAGAATAAATATTTGACAAGTAAGCACTATTCACTTAGCTTATATACTGAAGTAATTAGATCAATCATGTGATAGCTGCGCATACACTTTGGGTAGGCAGTTCGATAAGTCTCACGCCGGAACGGACGGCATGCAGATCAATCTGTCAAAAGCACGCTATGCTCACAATAGTACGCTCTAAAGTCACCCAAAATGTCTGATCGTTCCAAAAGTTCCAAGCCAAGTTAATCCTTCAGTCTTTTTATATACTATAATATCTAGTACTACTTAGGGGGTAAGAAAACACTAAATATTAATATAAGGTGCTAAAATAAACTTAGTAAAGAGCCCCCTAAATTTAACTAAATTTACCTAAAGATTTTATCACTTAGGGTTAAGGTCCTAAGTTTTATTTCCTCCCCTAGCTACTACAGTATATATTTATAGCATTTCTACAGTAGCAAATTGGTATTTGAAGCTTACGCCAGACGGTAGTATCAAGGTAGACACCATGAACATCCCACAGAGGAGTTTTCAATTGAGATCTAAAAAATAATATTCCAAGGCGTATTCAAGTCTCGAAAAACCAATATCCAAACCCCAAAGACCTACCGTAATTGCCAAGAAACTGAAAACAACAAGCTTACAATTTCTTTCTAATCAGACATCAAGCTCATCCTTCTGGTCCTGCATCCGTTCAGCTCGCTTCTGCTCCGCATGAGCCTTGCGATAGGTTGTAATCAACTCCCTGAGACTCATAGAACCTTTAGGAATACGCGACTCACTATAGGTGTCGTCGTCTTCAGCTGGCGAACCTTGCGTCTCTTCGACGTCCACGCAACCTTGCACCTCTTCCTCTGGATGAGCCTCTTTCCCGACGGTCATTACAGTCTCATCCATCTCATCAGCAGTGATGCAATCTTCTGAATCATCGTCATCAGAAGCTTCACCCATAGCCTCAGCAGCCTCCCGAGCCTCAGTCTTCTTCATAATCGCAATCCAACGAGGCAAGTTCCTCTTCATGTATCCCAACACCAGGCCCTGCTTCTTCTCCCAATTATACGGCCAGCTCTCCTCCCACGGAACCTCAGCACGACGCTTCGAGAGACGGACCAGGTCATCCACATAGACACCAATCTCGACGAGTCTCTTCACCGCGGCGTCGTGCTGGGTGGGATCATGGGTCTCAAGATGGTTGATGAAACGGATGATCTGACGAGCACCGAAGCTGGTGTTGATGATCCTCTTGCGACATGGCTCGTAGTCTGTGTGATCGAGGGGGTAGAGAGATTTGGAGAAGGTATGATCTTCATCTAGCTCAATCGGGGAAGGGAGACGGAGCAGAGAAACGTGGCTGCTTCCACTGGAGTTTCCGCTGTGAAGAGACATTGTGTTAGATGGTGTTTAGAGTGCTGTTAATATGAATTGAAAGAGGTCTGGAGTTGTTGCTTCAGGTCTGAGTGTCAGGGAAGCTTGTTGAATTGTAACGGTTGTATGAGTTTGAACCGTGCTTTATATCCACAAATCCGCAGGAATATGTTCTTTGTCGGAACAACCTGCAACTGGCACAGTTGAACATGTGTAAGAGGCGATGTAAAGGTTAGTTGACAATGCGAGCACTGTTCATTCGCAAAACCAAGGACGGAACAAAAGGAAATTGGAAAGAGATATCGAACATGGACTGACAGTCCCTGACGGAAATAATGTCTTTGCACAACGTCAAGCATCAAAGAGGCATACAAAAGAGAAACAATAGAACAAAAGACCTGAAAACAAACATTTATAGTGACTCAAGAACTCGCAGGCCAGTGTCATGATCAAAGTTCCTGGCCTTTGTCCTTTATGCGCAAATAGTATTGGATTTCTTTGCTTGAATATCAAAGACCATATTTCCGCATATTGTGCTGCTGTTGCTCAACAATCAAACAGATCATATTTAAAGATTTCCCTATATAGCCCGTCCTGTGAGCCGAGCTTGATAGACTAGCGGCTGAATCGAGATCGCGGGTGATGGATCAGTTGGCCCGTAAAAAATCAAAAATATGCGTTCTATTCAAGATCTAGAGTAAATAGGTTTAACACCAACATTCAGTTTCTTGTCTACTACCAGTGACCTTTCGTTACACAAGGTCACTCTCCTTCACCAAGATATCCCGATTTACCTCACTAATATCCCTCAGTCCAGCCAAGTGCATATTCATAGTCAAATCACCACACAGTGCTCTCAGAACATGCCTCACACCATCCTCACCACCCAGCGCCAAACCATAAGCATAAGGCCTTCCAACAAGGACACACTTTGCGCCCAAAGCAATAGCCTTCATGGTATCAGCACCGCATCTGATACCACTATCAAAGAAGATATCGAGCTTATCCCCAACTGCGTCAACAATTCGCGGAAGCATACCCAGACTGCTAGCTCCACCATCTTGCTGGCGTCCACCATGGTTGCTCACCACAATTCCCTGAACACCAACCTCAACACACTTCTTGGCATCGTGAACACTCTGTATTCCCTTGAGAATAATGGGCCCGTCCCAGTGCTTCTTGAGAAATTCAACATCCTCCCAGGAGTGGGAATGGCCGGGGAATACGATCTTGGCCCACTCTCTCGCCGCGTCACCGAGACTAGCCCCTGCGGATCCGCCCTGAGTGGCTTGATAGACTCCACTCGCTGCATCGGTGATATCATAGCCGTGTTTCTCCTTGAACTTCTTTTGGAAAACAGGATCTGTGAGACCAATTTCGACACCGATGTGGTCTGGGTGGATGAAGGGGTTGTAGCCGTTGTCTAAATCGCTCGGACGCCAGCCGAGGACGTAAGTGTCAAGAGTGACGAAGAGAGCCGTGTAGCCGGAGGCTTTGGCACGTTTTAGCATCGAGATGGTAATGTCGTCGTGTTCGCGGCTGGGCCAATAAAGTTGAAACCATCGAGGTGCATCTTTTCCATTCGCTGCTGCAACATCTTCAATACTGGTGCTTGAAGCTGTGCTTAGCGTGTACGGAACTCCAAGAGATGCAGCAGCTCGGGCAGTAGCAGCTTCACCTTCAGGATTGAAGATCTTTTGAACTCCAATAGGTGCAATTGCAATAGGGAAGGGAAGCTTTTGACCAAGAACTGTAGTAGAGGTATCAGAGAACTGCTCATTGCCATTCTCATCTCTGTGACTTGGCACGAGGCGATTCGGAACGATTGACCAGCGAGAGAAAGCAGTCAAGTTGTTTCTGTATGTTGAGCCACTACCACAATTTCCGTGGATGTAGCCCCAAGAAGTTGCCGAGAGCGTCTCTTTCGCCAAAGGCTCCCATTGAGAAGTTTGGAAGGTAAATGCAGGACGTGCAAAGTGAAGACCTGCGTCAAAAATAGATTTCTCGTAGCCGAGAACGTCAGCGCTGGGCGAAGCCATGATAATTGGAAGTTGTTGTTAGTCGGAGTGTTTGGCTGTACACTGTTGAGTAAGACATCGCTGAATGTACTTGCGACTCTGTTATTAAATACTTTTCTGACATGTTTCTGACCTCGGTTATCGTGACAATTGCATCACTGTAGATCCATAGCAATGTCACCGAAGATTCTAGTGTTCAGCCTTACAAGTGCTATGATGTAAATTAAAGCGGTTCGATCGGATATCTCGGACCGGACAAGTGTCCGCTGCATCGGCTTTCTGCCGGTCGTGAACTTCGACGGAGGCTAAAATCCGCCAAAGAGCCGCTAAGACGCTACTCCTTTGAGCCTCATTCGATATGATTGTTTGAAATTCATTACTTGGGATTCTGGTCATTTATTTCCAGGTTTTGGCTGAACGTTGTGTTGTAAACGGTCCGATTGACATGACGTATGGAACTTGGTGAAGATACCGTATGGGCCCTAGAGATTTAATAGTAGCTTTCTGGGAGCCGATTGCTCCCGATTGATATGTATTTTGAACTGGATAATGAGATAGAGTGTATGATGCCTAACCAGGCTACGACAGTCAGACTGGTGACCTAAGATGTACTAGAGTCGAACCCAAACAAGTCATCAAACACTATATCCCGACTTGTGAGCGCCTCATCTCCAGTGCCGTAATGGTTGAAGCCTGTCTGCGACATAGGTACAAAGGCTCCTGGTGCCATCGGAGGGGCTTCAAGCAGAAAGCTTTGCATGATCTGATCGATGTCGAAATCGGAAACCTCCAGGCTAGAGAAGTCGACTGCCGTGTCAGGCGTTGGCTGCTGCGCCACTGACGCGTCGGGCCCTTGATACATGATATCAGGGCTGATTTCAGATAGTTCAGATACATCAGCCTCTCCCAGGTGACCATCTTGGCAGCTTATTGGTTCTATCGCCACAAACTCTCCAACATTAACCCCTAAACGGTCCATAATCCCAAGAAGAATTTTCATCGTTCGCTTTGGAGCGTGACACCATGTCTGCTGTTCGGATAAAATCTCCAAGCAATTTCTGAGACACAAATGCGCTTGCGATCCTGGACTTTTCTGCGCTGCCATGCGAACATGAATCGTGGCACTAACATACGTGGCGTATGATATAAAATATGGCGCTGTCCTAAAGCAAAAGTGCTGTTTGAAGATTTGTAAGATCTGATGAGTCTCTATCGCAGCTGTGACACAGTTGAAGAAGGCTTCGGGTGCGGATGTTTCAGAGACAGATGTAAGGTGGCCTTCCGAAAGAAAAGGACGATAGATCAAGATGACTAGGGAGTTGAACAATGCCCTGGTTGAGTCAGTATGTGAACAAGAAAGCTAAACAACGCACTCACAGCAGTGATAGGTTGTGCGGAAGGACGTTAGAGGAAGCAGGATCGTTCAGATCAACTCTCAAACTGTCCGGCAATCCATCCTTCCAAGATTTAAGATCGCGGGTGAGCGAGTGGGCAGTCTGCCATATTTGATCGGCATTCTTCGTGGCGCTCCTCTCCGCATAAAGAGCACATAGAATACGGTCAATGATAATGCTGAGTTTGCACAGCTGCTCAAACGTGGAGACACTATACGTCGGACAATCCAACTGAAATGGTTGAGCAGAGTACGTTCGAGTATGAAAATCCTCCAGTTCTTCATATTCATCAAGAAATGCGATCGGTACACGGTTATCATGCTCGCGTAACCGAGTTGGACGGCCTTGGTAGATAGACTGGACCTTGTCCGAAACTAAAAAGATCAGCTAGACATAGATATGTGGGTGTTGAGATGCTTACTGAATGTCGCCCAGAAGACACGGCGCTCAATTTCTGTATCTTCAGCAGTTACTTTCTTTGAAGATCTTCGAGCTGGGCCGTCGATGTGCAGACCAAGATCGATTATCATACTAATCGCGATTCCTAAGTAATGCCACGAGAGACTCCTCTCATTACACCACGAAAACAGGGCGTCTGAAACGACAAGCAGCGCCTGGATCGTAGTGATATCACTCTTGAACAATACCTGAGAGCCAGAAGCGTGCAGGGCTTGCTCGAACTTGATGCGATATGGACGCCCAATGGAATTCAGCTTGCCGGTGCTTCGGAGAGCGGCTGCATCAACTGTATGCATAGACCCAGCGAAGAGTATGGCTGTAAGGAGGAGGTCGGAGTAGTAAGGACCTTTGGATGCCATGCCGCGCATAAAGGCTGGGCGATATACGATTGAGCCCATATAGTGCTGGCGGTTCCAGAATTTGGAGAGAAGATCCATGCCGACTTTTGGGTCAACGCCACGGAAGTCAAGCTTTCCGGCTCTGAGATTGACCTTTTCTAGTTGACCTGCTTTAAATTAGCTCTCGGTCTTGAGTGTTAAGTGGTATGCACTCACGTTGCCTAGTTGTCTCTGCCAAAAGTTGGTTCTTGACAAACTCGTCGGAGTTGGGTATGCGAGGCCGGTCTTGAACGGTTCCTATGTGTGTAGCTCCACTAGAAGGGCCATGAAAAGCGGCACCCTCGGGTTGCCCAGTTGATAAATGGTTAGAAGGAGAGACAGCTTGCGCCTTTGTTGGACGAGTCTGATCGCTGAAGCTGTTCGGGGTAATGATAGATTCAACGAGATTCGGGTTTCCATTCAAGTGAATGCCTCCCTGGTCAGCATCAGAATGCACGCTGCTCAACTCCGGACTTCTGGAGCGTAATTGATCTCGTAAACGAGCATTTTCCTCCTCCAGTTTCTGTATGCGCGCATTAGACGGTCTGTTCACAAACGTTAACACCGACCCTGCATGATCTGTTAACAATCTTACCTAGCTTGAGCTATTCTCTGAGAATAGGTGCACTCGATAGCCCGACCCTGGCAATTTTCACACTTTGGCTTCGCGTTATCGCACCCAAGCTAGAAGAGGTCAGCAGATACGTTGCACCGTGATGATTACATTGCTACCTTCCGCCTTCGGCAAAAGTCACAGGCGGCAGATACGCGCTGGGGTCTACGTCGCGATGTCTTCATGATGGCGGGACGGATGGTGATGGGCCGTGGTATTGAAGGAACATGATGGTCCGCTCACAAGGGACGTGATTGAGGTGAGGTATTTCGATGACATAAGCGGACAGACATTCCCGCCACTCCAGCTCCAACTTAGCTCATAAATTCATATCATGTTACGGCTAAGATATGACTGTGACGTGGCTAAATGTTTCTTCCAACATTGAGACTATCGAACACTTCTAAAGACACCCCTAAGCTCGTACAAAAGCACTTCAATCCATCGCGGATTCTGCAGGTTATAGTCTCCAGAAGGGACCAGCGGTACAGCAGCCGCTAGTACGTCCCTAACGAGCTACGCGCCCCCTGAACTCGTCCTTTGCCTTGCTTTCCTTGACAAGATGTTTCGCGCAATAGTTACGAGACTCTTTCACAACACGAGTTGGGGTGTCGCATTGCAGATTAGACTGCGCCTCATATTTCTCGTCGCATTGTTCGAATTCGCCCATTTTTGTGCAGCCACACCTGTAAGTGTTGTAAATTTGATTACACACGGTGCTTCTTGCTTCAGTCTGTAGACGCAGCCTGTGTTAGCTGATGATACTGGTCACCAATACTGAGTCACTCACATTGGTGGTAGTAGGAACGAGAAACGGTTTGGAGAAGAAGATATGGCAAAGTTATATGATAAAGTTGTGGACTTGGAGGAAATGAATGAAAGCTTCTGATGGGTTTCAATCAAGCTTTATGTTATTTATAATGATTCTTAACAGTACAGTATATCTTCTAGTAGCGGAATAACAAGATGTATAGCGCTTCGAGGCATATGATGATTCGGTTGTATTTTTAGATTCTTCAAATAACCGCTGCTACTCTAGCACATGAAACGGCAGTACGCGCGCGCGAGGAACAACCAGTACCCAGTGAGGCTTAAGCGCCCGCCCAGACCCGAGTTTGTTTCCACGAGTTGTGGGGGCACAAGCTTGATAAGTTGATGCTCTGTGCCTGGGCGCAATACAAGCTTGGAGTCAAGAAAACTCCTTGACGACACCCTGATCCTTCATTCAACACTATCTCTGATACATTTATCAACATGTCGCACATCATCTCAAACCAAATCAGCATTGTGCCGAAGTCGAACATCGAAGTCCTCAACCAAGAAATCGACGATGATGAAGGACTGTATCGCATTCGGGCCGGCAACCGGGTACATTATGTGACAATTCCAGGTCCTGGGAGTCCCAATCCCATTTTTGAACAAGACACTCTCTGTCGACCACATCTTCTCGTGCCCGCGCTTCCCCCATTCCCAGACGCAGACTGGACGAAGATGCGGCTTTCCCGGGCCCAGGATGGCAGCGTTCAATCGGATATTTCTTTCGAACCGTTGGACAAGATTGAATGCACCTGGCATCCACGACAAATCAACATACTGTCCCTAAAACGCATCAAGTATCACAAGCAGCGCATTCGAGAAGTCGAATATGAGGGGAAGACTGCGATATCCAAAATTGCCATTCTTGAGTGGCTCATTCCACAGATTGAGCACGAGACGAGGATGTACGAAGCTCTAACCAGGTTGCAAAGCCCTGATGAGGACAGGATGACTCCCGAGGTCCTGGGTCATCTCTTCGAAGGCGGTAGAAACATTGGTTTCCTGTTAGAAAAGATAGAGGGCGAATATGCGACACTGGCTGACCTGCCGAAATGCGAGGCGGCCTTGCGCAGGTTGCATGAGCTGGGGTTTGTCCACGGAGACGCCAATCGCTACAACTTTATTGTCGAGCAATCCACTGGGAACGTCAAGATGATTGACTTTGAACATGCTGAGCAATACGATGAGAAGAAAGCCAAGGCTGAGCTTGAGGAACTGGCAGCCGAGTTGACAGATGACTCAGGGCGAGGTGCACCAGTCACTTTCATGTATCGTTAGCAATAGAAACATAATCCTCATGACAGTATTTTCCTTAGTTCCCCATATTCCTTAGTAGCTTCCGTGATCCATAGCAGTGTTCAGCGTGACTTAGCAGCCCATCACGCGAATGTAGTCTCGTAGTCAAGGCAAAAACAGGTCGTTCTGGTCTCGTGCGCGGGGGACACAATAACGTGAGGATAGTTGAGGGCAGAGATCCGTGCTTGAAATCATTGTATGTGACTTGGCATCCCTTGCAAAGTTGCCCCCAGTCCGCTCTCGAGTCTGTGATGTACGGCACACGTAGGCTGGATACACCTGCGAACGGATCATTGCCGATATTAGCCCCTTCTGAAAGTTTTGACATGTCGTATCCTGGTGCTTCCAGAGGCGCTTCATGATAGCGCTTAAAAAGATAATATTCTTTCCAGGATATCGCCGGCGGTTGCGGGATCAACTGCGCCAGGTGTTGTACAGAGCCGTGGATTTTGATGGCCAACGTTTTAGCTGATTTCACACTGACCAGCTGGCAAGGTTTGCGGTGCAGCTTTTCAGGGCCCCTGACAGAGTACGTCCCGGGGATGATACGCATAATATGAAGGGTCTGGACTTGTCGTTGCGTCAAGACGAAGTACTTTTTAGCCATCGGTAGCGTCATCATCCACAGTCCTCTGTTTTGGAAGAGGCACTCGAAGCAGACCCTCTCGCATGTGGGCAGATATAGAAAAGCCCCGAAGTCTGAGCAGGAAACGCAGCGAGAGGATTTGAGGGTGCAGTATACGTCTGAAGCCGGGTAACAACCAACAAGGTTCGTCTTTATCAACGCCGTTGGAACTTTGGGTGCATGCTGAATCACCTGCCGATACGGCAGAAAATTCTCAACGACTCTCTTGCCTCTCAAGGAGACACGTGAGACACGCGAAAGTGACTGAAAATCCAGAAGATTGAGTGTGATAACGAGTAGCTCTGCTGGTAGAGTGTCGAGCAGGCCCAAGGATGATTCAGAGCGCTCCGGGTGAATCGATGATGACGTTACTGGGACTATGTCCTGGATGACCCTGCCGAGATTAAGCTCAACATCACAGGTGAGCTGCGAAATGATTTGAGCATCAGAATATGTCTCCATGCTTGTTGCGCACGGGGGTCTGAATATTGGAAATGAATTATGTAGAGGTTAGGTGGAGAGCACTGAGAATATTAGAGCCAATAAACAATACAATCGACGCGCGACGCGTTTGGGTGGCGGATTACATAATGATCGCTACCGTTGCCCTTAGGGAGCAAGAAAACACAAGACCTAAGTTTAGGATGACAAAATAAATTCTATAAAAGGTATGCTAAACTTATACTAAGTTACCTAAGCCTTTTTATCACTTAGGGTTAAGGTCCTGAGTTTTATTTCCCCCCTAGCTTACCTACCTAGTAGGTATTCGGCCGTGAAACAGCTCAGCTTTTCGAAACTATACGGCAAAAATATTTTATATATAATTCTAGTTGCTTGATCGAGTGCTGAAAATCAATCTCGGCATAACTGAAATTCTACACAACTCCGACATGACTCTTTTCATTAACATTACGCCTATAGCTAAGGTACCTTAGGTATAATACTTTCCCTTGGCGGTCTAGCGCTCAGCGATCACCGATAGCCTCGGCTAACGGAAATCAACGAGCCGGTCAGCAACGTCTAAGGTATATAGTTTATCCAAATCGACTTCCTTTATTGTTGAGAAAGATTTTTCCATGTGTGACTTTTCATGCTACGACGGTGTAAGCCCCGAGTGGCTTGCCCTCGAAGCATCCTTACCGCCGCCAGCTGTACCGGAATTACCAATCTCCGAAATGAAAAGCTTGGCGAACCAAGAACGAGAAGCTGTCGCCAGAGAGTCAATGATCAAACTCGCGCCTCAACTACGGATACAGAACCACGATATTCCCTCTCGTGATGGGGGCATTATACCGGCACGGAGTTACCGGCCAGTCGATGCCCCAGAAAAAGCCTTGCTCCCTTTGCATATGCACTTCCAGGGCGGTGGATTCATGTTCGGCACGCTGGATGCTGAGGATGCGATATGTGCACGTATAGCCGTCGGATCGAAGGTGGCGGTTCTAAATGTTGATTACAGACATACGCCGGAGTTTGCGTATCCGACACAATGGAATGATGCTGAGGACGCTTTCGAGTGGGCTCATGATAACATGGAATCAATGTTCTGGGACCCGGACAGAGTCATTATTGGCGGAATATCAGCTGGTGCTTGGCTATCTGCGTCTTTCACCTTACAAAAACATCTGAATCGTGTAACAGAGAAAAGACCTCCCATCGCAGGCCAAGTCCTCATGATACCCTGTCTGGCACACCTTGATTGCTATGAACCGCAGATGAGAAAGATGAAAAGCGAGTCTATCTCATCTTACAAAACAAATGTTGCAGCGCCGATGCTTACCGTTGAGGAACTTCGCTGGTTCACAAATCTGTTGAAGATCGAGAACCCAGATGTTCATGATTTGAAGATCAACCCGGGGAATGCATCGCCAGAACAAGTAAAAGGGATGCCTCCTACTGTTCTTGGTGTAGTAGGCCTGGATCCTCTTAGAGACGAAGCACTTCTCTATGGGAAGATGTTGGCAGAAGCTGGGTGAGTAGCTGATATATGGGTTCTTTGGAAGACATTGGCTAACATGATTCAGTGTTCCGACCGATGTAAATTTGTTCTTGGGGCTGCCCCATGGTTTTAGATCGCATGAGGAGAAATTATCGGCGTACAATAGATGGGATAAGGTCATAGAGGATGGCGTTGGCTGGATTTTATCAAAGCCTGTATGTAGCGAGTTTCATGTAAAGACATAAATCAGAGAGGAGCTTCAATGCAATCATCATTATGTAACGTGCCTCTATCTAAGATACACCATCTATCAGTCGCTATGCAAACGCCACCCAATGCAAATACGTCAACAGAGAAACCGATAGACCTTTTTCCACCTGGGCCAGCCATGTCGTTCCTCCCGTTCTTGCTCCGCCATAACATGCACACGAAAGTATCTCCGCCCCGTCACAACATCCATATCAGGCAGACGTACAATCTGCGTACGATACCAAGCCTTATGAGATAGA